CATCTCCCAGGGTGAACAGCCCCCCAGACATGAGAAGTCCCCCAGAGTGAGCAGACACCCCAGGGGTGAGCAGACCCCCAGGGTGAGCAGACACTCCCTGGGGGTGAGCAGACCTCCGGGTCAGCAGCCCCCAGGGTGAGACAGGCGTCCAGAGGAGGCTGTGGTCACGATGGCTTCTGGCTCAGACACTGGGTGTCTGGAGATCTGGGGTCCACTCTGGCTGAGTCATGTCCGAATCCCACGGCTTTTGAAGGGCTGAGGCCCTTGACTTTCCCTGCAGCTGGCATGGGTGGCTGCCCCGGTGGACACAGTTCTGCCACCCTGGTGCGCGGCACCCCCCCAGTAGGTTTCTAGTAGGGTTCCCGGCACACTAGAACTGTGGAAGCTACTCAGAAAGGAAGCGCCAGCTGTGCGTGGCCTTGTTTTACCAGGACAGGCCCCTAAGCTCCTCCCACACACTTCATGGTGATGCGGAATTGCCGGGGAGAGCAGTCACCTTCCTGGGGGCTGCCAGCTGCACAGTTGGGGTTTGAGACTCCCAAAGGGACAAAGTGTGAGCCCAGTCTTTCCACAGATCTCCTTTCTCGCTTGTTCTTTGCCTTTTTGAGGGGGACCTGCTGGTTTCCAGCAACACCAAACAGCTGGGGCTCACCCAAAATCCAAGCAGTTCCCCCAAACCAGTGTGATCCTTTACCATAAAGATGTAAAGATGCAACTGACCCAAGGATGCTTCAGCCGAGGAAACCAGACAAAAGGCAGCTGCCTCAGCCTCGTGTGGCAACCTCTCTGCTGTTCAAGAGCCCTGGCGTCCAGGGCGTCACAGAGCCCTGCCCCCCGCTGTCCCGAGAGGGCGGCTGGAGGGGGTGGCTACCCGTCTCCAGGATGGCAGCCAGACAGCCCACAGACGGGCGCTTTTTGTCTTTGTGGGCTCAGGCTTTGCGATGCACAGTGCGGTCTCATGGACCCTCCAACAGACAGTCCACGCCGGTGCCAAAGAAGGAGGTTAGCACAGAGCACTGCCCTCCCTGGAGGGAGAGAGTATTTGGAGCGATGGCATCTTCGATGTCATTATTTCCAAGAAAAAGATGGACTTGCGTGGACGGGGGTCCCAGTGAGGCCCTCAGGCTCACGTGCGTGAGACTCCACAGGTCTGGTCAGGGGAGAGTGCCTAGGCCGTCAGAGAGCTCAGCCAGGAGGTGGGACAGGCGAGTGGGGTCTGAGCGGCCTGTAAGAGCAGGTAAACTGGGCAAATCTCAAAGCAGAAGGGAGTCAGACCCAAGGGACAAAGAACCCAAGTTACCGCCATACTCAGCAGGCTGTGGCCAGGCAGCCCACAGGCTGGCCAGGAGCAGCTCAGCTTGGTGGTGGGTGAAGGCGCCCTGGGGGTGTCACGCCAGGTCACACTGTGCAGCTGGGATCCATTTCATGCCGCCATGGCAGTCTTCAGAATTGTGGGGCTTGAGCTGATCTGTAGATCAATGGCCTCACATTGCCATCGTTTGAAACTTATTAAAAGAAAACATCTCTGTTTCCACCACTTGGCTCAGCCCTGTTCACAGGCCCGTGCATTGCCCCAGGTGAGTGCGCCCGGGAGTAGGAGAGACACAGGTAAGTCTTGTCTCCCCAGGTGCCTCATCTCCCACCGGCACCAAGGCAGGCACTGCCCCTCCCTCTTCCCAAGGCTGTTTTGATGTTAGCAGAACGGTCCTTGAAATGGGGGTTCACTTAGCCTTTCTTCTGCTGAGGGACTGCCCTATTTTCCTGTTGTCGATAACCCCAATGTGAAAACTGCTGTGTATATGGTTTTCCTTTCTGTGTCTCTTCTATATATTTTTTTAAGATTTATTTTATTTGTACATACAGAACTGGGGTACAGGCCAGAGGCTCAGGGGCGGTGAGAGGCTTCACCAGAGACAGAGTGGGGAGTAGAACAGGCAGATCTAGGAAGTACACTGTTGAGGGGAGCAGCGGGCGGGTCAGGAGAGGTCTGCCACGCCATGTGGTCACCTCCGGGGCAGGTGGGAATCGAACTCATGTGGAAGTGGCTTTAGCTTTTCAGTGCTGTGCTTTAACCCGCTGGGCCACCAGGGAGGGCCTCTTCTATATTTTTTAAAGATTTATTTATTTATGCACACAGAACTGGGGTACAAGCCAGAGGTTCAGGGGTGGTGAGAGGCTTACCAGAAGACAGATCAGGAGCAGGACTGACGAAGTACACTGCTGAGGGGAGCAGCGGGCAGGTCAGGAGAGGTCTGCTGCGCCCTGTGGGTCACCTCTGGGGTGGGGATCGAACTCGCACTGAAGTGGCTACAGCTCGCTTGCAGTGCTGCATCTCAACCCGCTGCGCCACCAGGGACACAGGGCCTCTGTGTCTTTTCTTGAGCTACCAGGAGCGCACACGCAGACCCACTGAGTCAAAGGCAGTGAAGGGTTTGGAGTGGGGCGCAGCAACTGGCAGGCCGTCAGGCTTGCACGGGTCTTACCACGTCCATTTTCAAGAGTTTGCGGGAAAAACTCCCACCCGCACTGGGGGCTGTCCCCTCTCACAAGATTGCCCCCCAAAACGCCAGCGCGCCGGTCCTGAGCAGCCTCACGCTGCCTGCTGGAGCCGGCGCCTCTCAGGGAGCCGGGAGCTGTGGCGACCACGCCCCTCACCTGGGCCTTGTCGCGCAGGTACCTGAGGCTGTCCAAGAACAACATCCGGACCCTGCTGAAGCTGTGCAAGGAGGCGGGCATGAACGTGGACATCCACCCCCACATGGTGGAGGCCGAGATCGACGCCAAGAAGGTGTTTGGCCAGAGCCCCAACGAGGACCCCTAGGTAGCTCCCGTCCTGTGCCCGGTCCCTGGCCCCAGAAGCCACCCGCTGGCACCTCAGATCTGGCGCACCCCTGTTAGACAGTAGTGATCAGAAAACAAGCATAGACCCCAGGGCGCATGGTGCTGGTGTGATGTTTCTCCTGGTCACCGAGTCAGAGCCGGCTTAGGAGAAGTGGGGGTTGTGTCCCCACTGCGAGAATACTCCCTAGAAAGCTTTCTTGGAAAGGAAGGCTTAGAAAAGACGGAGACCCTGTGTCCCCAGAGGGAGCTCCGAGGGGCGTGGGACAGGCGGGAGGTGCCGCAGAGGGTGCCTTCCTCAGAGTCCCACAGGAGACAGGGAGGGCACAAGGCAAAGGTCAGCTGGTGTCCAGGCCTCGGCCTCCTGTGCTGATGGAGATCCAGCAGCTCTGGGACTATGCAGAGCCCGCCCCTCCCTCCTGGAGCCACTGTCAGTTGCGGTGACAAGCCCGGGCCCCTCTAGCCCCTAGAAACGTCTCAAGTAAGTTTAAACCCTACTGTGCCGCGTACTGTGTGACTTTCGGCAAGTTACTTGACATCTCTGTGCATCATTTTCATGTAAAATGAGGCTCATCACAGGATGTGCCGGGCAGGGTGCTGAAAAGAGGAACCAAGAGCTTGCAAGTGCTTATGCAAAGCACAGCTGTTGGTGCAAAGATCTCAGAATACTGTGTGCTGTTCCCACTGTCCCTGGGGTGCGACACCTCAGCCCCAGCTTTCTCAGGCACTCATGGGAAGTGGCCCCTGAGCTCCCAAACCCCGTGGCAGCCCCGGGACCAGAGACCCTGTCAGGAGCCGCTGTGCCAGCTGGGCTCAGGGCCGGGTTTCCCCTTCTGCCTCTGCAATATTGTGACTTATCGGAAATATTTGTATCTGGTTATTCCTACGACCAAAATGCATTTCTCATCCAGATCTGGTCTTCATCCACCATTTCTGGTTCCTGGTTTTCCCCTTGGAAAACCTAAGCCCTGGAGAATGGAAACAGGGTCTGTTGCTGTGGTGAACAGGCCGCTTCTAGAGCGGGCAGGTGGCAGGTTGCGGAGCGGGGGGCCGGGGGGTGTGGGGGGTGTCAGCATGAGGGTCGGGGCTTGCAGTCCAGGCCTGACCTTTCCTGGGCCGGGAGAGGCACTGGCCAGAGTCCAGCAGTCAGCGGCCCGTGGGTTCATACACCATGCTTGTATAGGGAGCCCTTCACGACGCCTCAGTGGAGGGGCTTCAGGGGCTTCCAGGTTGGTGCGCCCGGAGATTTGGGCACACCCGGGAAGGTGTCAGCTCTGCACCTTCCCCACTCTCTGTCCTGTGCGTGGCTTGCCTCTTCTGCTATATCCTTAGCGCCCTTGGTAATAAACAGACAACCCAGGGAACGGACAGTCCCCGATTGTGTGAGCCCTACAGTCAATTCTGGAACCCGAGAAGGGGATCCCGGAGACTCTGAGTTACTGTCTGTTGGTCAGAAGCACAGATATTACTCTGAGGCTTGTTGCTGGCACCGAGGGCTGAGAGGGGTTCATAGGAACCTGCCCTCTGCAGCGCTTGGTCAGAAGCCCCACTGGGGCTCACAGCTGGTGTCTGGCATGGAGGCCATCTCAGGACCACCTGTGCACAGCTGTCACCTCTGGGTGGATGGAGGTGCCGGATGCCCCAGACAGAGCTGCCGGGTGCCCCAGCTGGCCCGAATGCTTTGTGAATGTGCGCACCAGACCCGGAGGTGGCTTGGTGACCCTGCCTGCCCACAGGCATTGCTCTTCAGGGTGAAAGGGAAGCTGTGGCACTTCCAGACCTCTCCCACACACCACTGGCCAGCCTGGGGAGGGATGGGGGCACCCCGTCACCACTATGCGGAACCCGCTAGGTCACAGCCAGAGCCGAGAACCTACAAGTGACTGTGTGGCCCCCGGGGCCTCTCCAGATGTAAGTTCACCTTGCAGAACCCGGTCAGCTAAGAGGGGAAGGAAAAGCATTTTCTTTTAAGATTTATTTTATTTATTTATTTATACAAGAGCTGGGGTACAGGCCAGAGGTGGGAGGTGAGAGGATTCATGAGCCACAGAGTGGGGAGCAGAACGGGCAGATTGATGAAAGCCACTGCTGAGGGGAGCAGCGGGAGGACAGGAGAGGTCTGCCACGCCATGTGGGTCCGCTCCCTGGCTGGTGATTGAACTCGTGCTGCAGTGGCTGCAGAGAACTTCATAGTGCTGAGACTTAACCCCTTGTGCCACCAGGGAGGCCCAGAAAAGCTTTTTCTGAGCACCACCGCATCAGGCACTCTGTCCACATTATGCAGCCAGTGCCAGGGTCAGACTACCCGGAGCAGGAAGGTGCTACCAAGGCCCTGGACTCAGGCAGGAGTAAAGGGTTGTGCCCACCTACGGCCTCAGAAGCTCGCCAGCAGGTCAAGAAAGAGAAGTTAGAGGCTTACAATAGCATAGTCTTGGGGGAAGCAAGAAAGTGAGACTCTGTTCTGGAGGAGGAGCTGAGACCCCGTGCCTGGGTGAATGAGATAGAAACAGAATGTAGGTGGCTGGGAGCCGGCCTTCGGCCAGAGTGGCTGTTGAGGTGCCTAAAGTGGGGATGGGGGTGAGGGTGAGGGGGCCCTCCCTGGTGGCGCAGTGGGTTAAAGCACAGCACTAAGAAGCTAAAGCTTCCGCATGAGTTCAACCCCCGCCTGCCCCGGAGGTGACCACATGGCATGGCAGACCTCTCCTGACCCACCCGCTGCTCCCCTCAGCAGTGTACTTCATCGATCTGTCTGTTCTGCTCCCCTCTCTGTCTCTGGTGAATCTTCTCACCACTCCTGTACCTCTGGCCTGCACCTCTGGCCTATACCCCAGTTCTGTATGCACAAATAAATAAATCTTTTTTTTTTTAAATGGGGGTGGGGGACAGGAAAGAAGACCAAGGCCGAGTCCTGAACTACTCACCAGCTTCAACCCCTCTTCACAAAGTAATTTTACCAGGAGGCTCAGCCCCTGCCCCTGCTGTGGGGGCAGCAAGGTAGGGCACCTCCCAGACCCTGGTTGATCCTGCAGAGCTGGGCAAGTGTCCGTGGAGTCCACAGACTGAAAGAGGGCTAGAAAAGAATGCAGGGGACCTGGACCCAGCCCAGCTACCAGGGCCAGTGGGGTGCTCTCTGCCACTGTGGGCCCCATGGTCACCAGGAGCCTCAGAGCCAGCCTCCTGGGGTCCTGGCCAACTGAGTCCAGACTGAACCCCAACATAGTATTTCATAAGTTCCAAAATTACCATGTTGTTAGTACAGTCAGGCTGCACCTTCTGAGAGTCATCAGCACCCCTCCCCCCCAAAAGGGGCACATACAAGGAACAGACTTAGACAGACACAGCCCCCCGGTTTATGGCAAAGATGAGGCGGCAGTGCATCGGGGAGGGTCTGTTCCATTAATCAGGCTGGTGGATGAAGGGTCCATGTGGGAGAAGAGGACCCTCTTCTGCCACATGCAAAAATCAGCTCCAGGTGGGGCGGATGGTGAGAGCGTTCCTAGCAACCTAGAAGCCTGTCTCCATGACCTTGGGGTGGGCAAGAAGCTGAAAGGGGACACAGAAAGCCCTACTAATAAAAGGTTAATAAATTATATCTAGAACTTCAGTTCATCAAAAGGCAACACTAGGGAGTGGTGCAGGAACCCCGAGTAGGAGAAGACGAGCAGGCGAAGGTTTGTATTCTGCTCCCCTATCATTTCCTAGGAATAAGAAATACGTGCAAAAGTCTGGCGGAGGCATTTGCCAGAAAAAGTTTAGCTAAGTGCCCCATGAACATAAGAAATGCCCCGAAGCTTCAGGAAATGCCAGTTACACGTCACAGCATAACTCTGCTGCACCCGGGTCTCAACACCAGTGGTGTGTGGCAAAGCGCGGGACCAGCGCCCTCGAATGGCTGCCAGGGCGCCCAACTTGCACCTCCACTTTGGAAAACTGCAAACCTACCTCATCGGAACCTACCTCTATGCTGTCGTCCTGCATTTCTGTTCCTACAAACACCACAAAATCATCTGCTCTGTGCAGCGACTGGCAGTACCAGAGGGTTCACGGCAGCTTTATTCACAGAGCGACACGCTGGAATTGGCCAGGCGAGCTGCGTGCGGGCGAAAGTGAAGGCCAGCGCTGGCCGAGGGAGTCGCAAACGCCCTACACGAGCAACTGGACACAACATTGAGCCCAGTGTTAGAACTCAGGACAGTGACCCCCCCCTTGAAGGGGACCGGATTGGCAGGGGGCGCGGGCAGTGCAGGTGACCTGTGTCCACCTGAAACATTCATTGAGTGGTAGCTACACTAGTGATGATACCTTTCATGTAGATGTACTGTATTTTCATTAAAAACACATTTTTAAAGCATAATGTTTTTGGAACAAAGTTGTAATTTCATTGGTTTAAAATAAGGAGTCTCAAAATGTGGGGGTGCAGTTTCCCTCCGCTCCCTGCCTTCGCCTATACCTCCTCTCTCCAGTCCTCTGCCACAGCAGTTCCCGCAGGTAGCCACCAGGTGGCGCTCGGTCACAGCAGAAGACGGCACCTACCCGCGTCTCAACCAACAAAGTTAAGTGACTCAGTGCTCCAATAGTGTTGAAGGACAGCTGGACCCCAGTCCGGCCAGCCTGACCAGAGCACGAGCAAAACCCAATCACTCACCCAGCAGCTTGGGGGCCCCTGCATGCCACGTTTCAGAAGCTCCAGTTCTCTCCCAAACAGGACTGCAGTGAAGTATCGCTTTATACCTACTAGACGGGACATTAGTAAGCAGGGTTTGCCGAAGAGTCCAAGGGCTCCCTCAGGTGGCAAATTGCCTTGCACCCTTCCCCCGTGAAGCTGCAGCCGCTGCAGTGACTAGCGATTCCTCTCCTAGGCATGCGGCATGTATTCCATGTGTTGTCCCAGGACTCTATTTGAGTGTATCACCCGGTGCTGGAGGCTGGCGTCTGGGGGCCATCCATGCCTGGAGTGGCAGATGCAAATCGGGGTGGGTGAGA